CGGACGCTGTTGCTAGGTGCCACTGTCGCCTGCAATCAGCTGGGGCTTGGGGGTGGGCGACAAATCATCTGCGGTCTTCAAAGGAGGGTCCTTTCAATCCTCTCTGCGATTAATTTTGTTGCTGTGGCGCCTCCTCCCTTTTTGAGGACCAGAGTCTTGCAGGAGTAAACTGACAAAATCTGTGGTCCTTGGTGTGACTGCACCCTGCCTCAGCCTAACATAGTGCTTGCTCCTACATTTGTTACATTTGGTACAGCTGCTCCCTGGAGCGTCGAGTTCCCACACTCCTAGAGGCAAGGAATTCGTTGACTACTCCCTGCACCACGACCAGTGGAGAGCCGCATTGGTGTCAATTTGGCGCTCGATTGGTGCGCGAGATGAACTTCGACCCGCAAACAACGAGGAACCAAGTCAGAACTAGCTAAATAGACACTATCTCTATGCATCAGCCTTCGCCAGGCTCAACAGGCTATGTCGTGAGGCAGCTTGTCAAAACATGAACGCATGCCTTTTGCACTAGCCACGAGCACCACTGGGCTGAGGTCAACATTTTGTCAGTCTACCCCATGCCACCATGCCCTGGACAATCTCAGTCTTGATCTGCGGCTTACCAATAACCCGCATTCTGTGATGGAAAGTGGCAATATACTTTATGATCTGTTCCATCCTCCATGTATCGTGTTTTTGACATTCGGTTGATACACATCTCACGCTGGGTCGCTGCTCGTCCGGAAATTCACAGCTACAGCCGAGCGATTCGAATGGCTCGAAAACCTTTGCGCCTCAGAGCTCATGGACATGTTGCGCTCAGGCGGCCTTTGAGGGCTCCTTACCGCTCAGCGGGTGTGACACAAATTGGCCTTCGATTGGATTTGGTGCGCTTAACCCAATCGGCCCTTGAAAATCCCAGGATTACTTAGCTCACGAGTTACACTTGTATCAAACGGATATGGACCTTGGTGTGAGGCATCCGGTCTGAGACTGTCACTTCCTCAAAAGCCTGCTCTCGAAGCAGTCGTTTGCTGCGGGAACCTTTTTGGCCATTGGAGGCCGTTCCCATTTCCGAGCCATTAGTACATACGAAGGAGCTATGTTCATAAGAGCCACGATTTCAGACCACGGACTCCTTGGGGCAGAGCAGAATTGCCCCGCAGATCATGGAGCAACACTGTTCCCAATTGCACATCTGATGGTACCGCTGCTGCTACTATGCTTCTTGTGTTCTAGTGACTCCCTTACACATTAACATGTACTTCCAAAAAACATCTTTGTCCATTGAGAGAACCCCTTTCCAGGTTCCATGCCTTTCATTTGCATGGGAGTGGCAAAAAACACTTGACAGGTTGGTACCACTTTAACATCCATGTAAATCTTGTGCCACCAACCTCCAGGTTGCATACTGTAGAAAACATGAAACGTTTGGAATGTCGGCATGTTCAGTTTTGTCCCATAGATGTGCTTTTCGAGACAGGTCAACTTTCTGGCCATCTGCCTCACAAAAACCAATCTAAGTTTGCAACTTCCCAAGGTTCTCCTCAACGGGGTCGGGGCCGTACCCGTAAACCTGTGCCTAACTTCAGGCACACCCGCCCGCCCGCCCGCTCCTTGGCCTGATCTGTGGGATCGGCTGCCACGCTGCAGCCCTGCATCCGAAGTTCAGAGGTCATGAAATGTTTCTTCACGTGCCAGCCGCCAAACGGAAAACCAGGGCTTTACGCTCGTTGCACCCGTGCCTCTTGGCCGCCACCTTCGCGGCCAACTCCGCCTCCGCCGACTCAGCCGCCTGCTGCATGGCCTGCTGTGCTGCACCGGCCCTGTCCCGGGCAGCTTGGCCTGGCCGCTGTCCGCCAGGCTCGTTTGAGTCCTCGAGCTCACTCTGAAAAACACGATTTTCAGGGCCCGGATTTCCCCTACAAGTTGCAATATACTGGCGGGCTCCGTTGAAACTGCAACTTTTGGAGGTGTTAAACAGAAACCTTTCAGGACCCCTGCCTTTTCAAAGCATGTTCAAACCAATTCGTGTCTTGCAAGAACAAACCGCTTTGTTACGTCTTCCGAAGATGCCTATGAGGCGTGTGCTATTTCTTTCAGGCGGCTGCTCCAACCACCGATGCCATCAGCCTAGCCGCACCATGCCCTGCCTCCTTGTTGATTCCACGGCGGCTGCTGAAGCGCAGCCTTCCCCCAAGGACCTCACTGCATGGCAGAATCACATTGTTTTCGACTTCGCACACTGAAAGCACATACGGGAATATGCTGAGACTCGTGGCGTCTCAATATGAACGGAGGAGGTTGAAGCGGGAAGGGCTGTGGATAGGTAGCATTGTGAAGCATTGCTCCGAATTCCTGCCCCAACCCACCCGCATGTTTCTTGACAAGGACCTCTCCAGTCTCTCAACCCAAGGCAGCTGCTGGGTTTTCGCCGGCAGCCCCTGGACAGAAAAGGGTGCATCCCAAGAAAGCGGCCGAAGCGGACTTTTTGGACATGGCCGTGCAAGGAAGCCACACGCCTTCAAGAGCCCGTGTTTTGACACATTCCTTCGACCAGCCAGGCAGCTCTGTTCAAACGACGCGCAGAACACGAGACTAGCATTGGGAAACAGTCGCACTACTGGATCCATGAGCGCGAGGATACGTCGAAAGAGGCTCAGAAACGATACGTCCCGGCTATGAGAAAGCGTCAAACAAAACCGGTTGCAGCTATGCGCTATTCGAGGCTATCTTGTCACAGTTCCGTCGAAGCTTCTAGAAGGCCACATGATGAGCACGTTTGGCAGCTCCAAGCAACGCATCACCTGGCTGGTTCCTATGAATGTTGGCAATACAACTCCTAAGACATAGCCAAGCCAGGCAAGTATCACAATGCGGCTTAGCCGGTGACAATTTGGATACACACATGCACACGCTAGACTTGCCAATGCTGAATTTGTATTGCCAATACTTTGTTTAGTATTGCCATGACTTACTCTTCAGGGCCTCTTGTGGGCACCCCCTTTGTGTGACTGTTTGCCCTTACTTTCTTGCAAAGATGCTATCTTAAATTTGATGGTTTGCGGACCACTTCAAAAACATAATTCCTAATGTTTGCCCGGTTGTTGCTTGCCCGAATTTTTTGGCCCGTGCTTTTCGCCGGATTTCTTTCCCGGCAAACAACACTTTCTATTAAAGCGACCCCAGACACAGTCACAGGATTCTGAAGTAGGAAGAACACTTTCTATCAAAAGCAGGTCCGACATTAACACTGGGAGGTCAACCATGAAGTACTTTGTCACTCATGACAAATGCAAGTCGACCGTTACCAAAAGCAACAACTTGCCACATTTGTCGGCAAACCATTGGGCAGACAAAAACACAAACAAAAGGGGAGGGATGTTGCATACATCTTACCCGGAACGCCACGCGAAGATTCCAGGCCCGGAGTTGGAAGGTGGTCTGGAGCACCGCGTCCAGGTTTAGAGACAAGCCACTTGGAGGTCAGCTCACAGAGCCAGCTTCAATCCCCTGGGCCTAGTTTTGCATACACAACTTAAGTATATGCATCTCTGCTTGAATACAGATCGACTGCAACTTGAGCTTGGACAACTGGCATCGTTGATTGCAAACAAACAGTCCATGTGTTGTAACCGTTCCAGTTGATGTCAGGCTTGCCTGACGAGTATATATCGAGCGGCCGCGCACGCCCAGCTTTTCCCAAATCCTTAGAAACAGCCTACTCGAACCAGAATTTTCCTTGTAGCTTCTTGATTTGGAATGTTGCCTCGGGAAAAGAGCGGTCAATCCACGGTGGCCTTCCGTCAGGCAGCCTGACAAATCCTCACGGTTTCCCGGCCATTCGAAGCAGTCCTGCCTCGTAGTAGCAAGAGCCGGAATTGCAGGAGGCGCAGGCAGGCCCTGAAGCCAGGCCCGCGGAAGTCGACCGGGACACATTTGAAATTCTACGGAACCGCCGAACCAATTGCTTTCAATTTGGGAGATATGGACAAGATGAAGCGGAGAAAACCTTCCGTGTTTCAGAGTCTGGCCAACTTTTTCCGACAGGTCAGACCCATGTAGACTGGTTTAGGAACAACTCCGGAGACTTTATGTTTGCAAAACATGGGCGAATTCAGACTGACCCGTCTGCAGGTCGGAGCCACCGTGAATATTCACCGTCCCCCAATGATATTAGGATTTGGCGAGTAACGCTCGTTTCCTCATTGCAGTTTGGTGACAGTGCCCCATGCACTGGCCCATGCACTATAGGAGATGACAGTAGATACTTTTGCTCGTCTGATACTCCAAGGCAGTCGTGAACAAACACACAGGGATTATTCGGATGACCTGATGCGGGTGATACCTGAAAGACCCGTCCAACGTGCCGGCAAATCATGAACACATATTACGCGAAGGAGAGGTCCTGCCACAAGCTGGATGGTTGGGAGTATCATTCGCCGAACTGTGCGAAATCAGCTGAACTGATTGAATCTTCTTGAATACAAACCCCTTCTTGTCTGACTAGCTCAGCCACGATGCGATGATTAGCCAAAATCTCGCTTAGTTCCTTGCAGTTGTGACGATCAGATCGCTCTGCACAAATGAGAGCAGGCAACAACTGCGATTCCGTCTTGTGAGACATGTGACTGAAATCCATTGACTTGTCATCATTCGCTGAGCGTGCACAACGCCCACCTCCCAGCATGTACCAAGGCGAGGTGGTGAAAAATGTGTCTTGCCGACACCAAGTCCCATTGAAAAAACTCCTTGTGTGAGTCCGGCGTCCCCTCTGCCCTGACTCACTCAAACGGACCTAACGAAATGCGCCCGGCCTTGAACACTCGAAGGTGCGCGCTGCCTGGCCTTCCTGGGCACAAGCACGTTGTTGAACCACTTGCTTGAAAGAGTTCAGCGAACGCTACATATACTCCAGGAATTTCTATTCTTGCTGCTGTTCCTGCAAATTCTGCTGTTCATGCTAATTCTGCCGTTCCTGCTGATTGTTCATGCTGCAGTGTTGTTGTTCTTGTTCTTGTTCTTGTTCTTGTTCTTGTTCTTGTTCTTGTTCTTGTTCTTGTTCTTCTTGTTGTTGTTGTTGTTGTTGTTGTTGTTGTTGTTGTTGTTGTTGTTGTTGTTGTTGTGGTTGTGGTTGTGGTTGTGGTTGTCGTCGTTGTTGTTGTCGTAGCTGTTGCTGTTGCTGGTTGGTGGAGGTGGTGGTGGTGGTGGTGGTGCTGCTGCTGCTGCTGCTGGTGGTACTGTGCTGTGCTGCAAGTGATGTTGCTGTTGATGTCGTGGCGGCGGTCGCAGTCGTGGTTGTCGTCGCGTTGTTGTTCTCTTCTGTGGGGAGCTTGGAGCGTTTGCGGGCATGTGAAGCATACATGTACCCCCGCATCAGTCGGCTCCATTGCATCTATGCAAAACCTCACCTCAAATCTATGTCGCACGGCTCACAACCATTGGCGCAACCAATGTTCGCCATGCGCACACTTGCACGCCCTACAAGATGGATATGCAGCCCCTCTCCAAGGCGAACATTAAGCAGACACGTTCGGTCTCCACAACCGTAGGATTCCTTTCGCCTCACTCCGAAACAAAATACCTCAACATGCCAACCCTCACATGCCAGTAAACAGGGCTAACATTTTGAATGCAGCACGTGTCAACGTGTAACGTGCAGCATGACTTTTCCAAGATATAGCAGTGTACAGTGGTGTACAGTGATTCGCTCCTCGTACTCGTAGAAGGGAACCCCTTCCGCGGACCATTAGTGGACAGGGTGCTTAAGAACTGCGTTTAGCGCATATTACCTGCTGGACTGCGCCAGTTCGCGCATAAGCTCCCGGCTTTTGTGTGTGGCATTCCGGACAACTGCCTGCGCACTGCCAACACGTGCTTAGACAGTGCAGGCGACACCCCGCAAACACACATGAGAAAGGGACGCAACTCCAAATGGCTGATTTTAGTCACCAGCAAAAACACCAACATGTGTGGATTTCTTGAAGGGCAAGGCATGGTGAGGCATACCAAATTCCTTGGCCAGCTCATTCTACACACTGTTACACTATTGTTGAAGCATGTTACTGCCGTACTGCAAGCCAGTTTGTGCCCGGGGCTCTTCCATGATCTGACACTGATTCTTGCTCTTGTTGGTTGCAGCTAGTAGATACATACTTGTGGTGCGATAGGGAGTGCGCATGTTCAGCACATTGAGAGCTCTTGTTCAGCAGCCCACACACGCAAACTGTGCGGGGCTAGAATGGGTGCAAAGCATGCAACACCGCGCGCCCTTGCACAGCGCACACACCTCAGTTCACACTAGCAACATGTGCAGTATAATGTGGGCAGTGGCTGAAATTTCAAATGGCGCAGGCAAGGCTATGAAACAAGTACTTTGATTCGTTGACATGCGCACTGAGAATTGAGTACTCTGTTGATTCTGGCGCGCCGACCAAAGAAGGAGGTGCTCAGCATACAATCTATCCGTCCCATCCAGGGAACATGACAACGGTCCCCTAAACAACTACTATCTGTCTTGATACTTCATAGTCATTTTCTAGCTTGTTCGCTGGAACTGCAATGCAAAACGCACACACACACACACAAACAGCCACACACGCACACATCTCTCTCTCTCTCTCTCTCTCTTGCAGTTATTTTGTTCAGAACAACATCTTTGTGAGCCTGACACTGCTGCAACTGGACGGTCATCACACGTATGACGCAGAACTGTGTGGACATGGCTGCGAAGGAACTGCAGCAGTGTTTGAATGGAAACCCGCGAGTCCGTGCATGCTGAAGCCTGCCTACAAACGCAAATGTCATGCTTGCGGCCCAGCCGCAAACGCCAAAAAAGAAAACGACACGTCGAACCCTTTGAGTGGCGACAAGGTCTCCTGGCGCCGAAGCCCTCGTGGCTCCGAGAAAGGCGACCTGGTCAGAGCAGATCAATTGCTGCGCAAACTCATCTCAGCAAATGCTTCATGAGTCTGTCCATGTACACTTTGAGCCCAACGATCGCCTAATGTCTCTTCCTCCTGGAGCATCGATTCGCTCAGGCTCCGGCGGGCATGGCTCGTGCTCCGGGCACGGCTCTAGAGCGACTCCTGTCGAGCAGGATTTTGCTTGACCACTTTGGACCGGAGTGAAACGTTCAAGTTGCGCACGCGCCAACAAGCATGAATTTCCGTGGTGCCAAAAGCAACTGTCTAGAACTAGGTCATCTAGCGTCGGGCAAAGAGCTTGTGCAGCAAGGAGTCTGACACTATGCAAACCTGCTGGACGGGAATCCGTTTCTAGCTGCGCAGAATATATGTAACGAACGCAAAAACCAAGGTGCTGCTGAAAGGGGAGGGACTACTTGTTTGAGCTTCTTCCAGTAGCTCACCGCGCAATGAAGCACAGTGGTCATGTACTTTCAGGTGTGCAACTCGCTTCCATTCCTGCAAGTCTTCTCGAAACCAAAAACTACACGTCGTATGCGCCGCAATGCCATCAGCCAAAACGACACGCGAATCGCATGCAGCTGGGACCTGATTACCATGGTAAACTGTTGCTTACCTGCTGTTCCGGTTGGAAAAACTAATCCCCCTTTGTGGTTATGTTTCACTCCTTCAAAGAAGCATCCGACCAGTGCAACCCCCCCCAACAGAAAAAGAAACATACGAACACAAATTGCAAATTACGCAAGGTCTCTTGAAAGGATCTCTTGGCAAGATCTGTGCGCAGGATCTCTGTTGGTAGGATCTCTTGGCAAGATTTGTGCGCAGAATCCTTGATAGGATCTGTGCGTGACCTGTCCTCTCTGCAATATCTGCGCGAGGACCTTTACAAACGCTGGATCTCTGGGTATGGTGTCTTGGCAAGATTTGGGCACAGGATCCATGAGAGGATCCTTTATATACAAGTTCTCTGCTCAAGACCTGCAGCAATCACACAGGAATTTGCACAATCGTTTGATTTGGCAAGATCTGTGCGCAGCATTTCTGAGAGGATCCTCTGTTGCATTTATGAAAGGATCCTCTGTGTATTAAAGCTCTCTGCCCAGGACCTGCAGAATTTGCACTGCGCCGCAACGAGAGCAATCCGATGCCTAAAGTCCGCAAAGGGTTCACTTTCGATGTCCGAAGTTCGCGCCGTGCCCCAACGAGAGCACCCACCCACAGCGATTCAACGCATCCCAGACAGAGCGATCAGACCTACCCAAAGTCCGCAGCGGGAGGATATCGATGTTCAAAATTTGCACCGTGCCACAGCGAGAGCGCCAACACACGCAAAGTCCGCCAACTCCCCACTTCCGGAATTCGCACGGCACCATGGCGAGAGCGCAAGCTTGGAAGACACCAAATTCGCCCACGCACTTTGTACCAGCCTGCACGTCGAAATGCACATGAACATTTCACAAAAGAGCTTTTGTGCAAGCCTGCGCACACGAAATGGCCGGCCGAAAGAGAGTATCCCAACACAAAACAAAAAAAGCAAACAAACAAAAACAAACAAAAAGAAAGAACAACAACCAAAACAGAAAAGAAATAAATAAAGAAAGAAAGAAAGACAGAAAGACAGAAAGACAGAAAGAAGTAATGAAAAAAATAAGAAAGAAAGAAAGTCGGAAACAAACAAAGAAAAAATAGATAAATACAAAAATAAAGAAATAAAGAAATAAAGAAAGAAAGAAAGAAAGAAAGAAATAAATAAATAAATAAATAAATAAATAAATAAATACAAATAATTCAAGAAATAATGAAAGACTAAGGACAGATATGAATAAACAATCAAATAAATAAATAATCACATAAAGAAAGACATCAAGAACAAACTCAACTCAACAGACCAACCAACAAACACAAAAACAAACAAACAAACACACAAAGTCACACCCACCAAGAAAGAAACAACACCATGGGGTTCTCCGCCACCAGCCCAAGCGAAGCGACCGCGCCTTTGATGGTGTAGAGGAGGGATCTCAAATACTCTCCTCGTTGCAAACCCTGCTTATGGAAACAAACTGACTAGTCATTTCGCAAAACCCGGCTCGATCAATAAACCGAGTGGATTGGGCAGTGCCGCAAAACAAGAATTCTTTCGTTGAGGGCGTTCTTCCTGGCTCCAAGACACCCACACATCACTCCCTCTCGCTTGTCAAGCAGAGGCTCTGGAAGGAACATCCTCACCAGGCGCCGCGCACATTCGCGCTGGCGCACAAAAGGATGCCAAGCTAGAAATCTCGCTGCTGGTGTCGCTTGCCACTTGCGTTCCCTAGGGAGCCCAGAAACAAACGCCCCGGTGCTTTGGGAGACTTCTTTGGGCCGCAGCAGGCATGGATTTAGAAGTATCCTCCCGAGGGTCTCTGGAGCAAGCATCTGCTTTGTGGATCAAACAGAAGAGTACCCGACATGGCACCTTGGTACATGGAAACAAACTATTACCTGCGTAACCAACCGCTGCTGTTTAGTTTGGAGCCACACCAGTTTGCTGCTTTGACTTATCCAATTTTGCCTGAGCGCAATCTGTGTCTTGACTCCTGCTCCGCTCATTGGCGTCCATAAGCCTTTGAGCCACATTGGAATCAGCGCCCATGGTGACACATCGAACCTCTTCTCACAAAGCGGAAGCTGCTGATGAGAAATACTTTGCTTCTAGTGTTGGTCTGTGAATCTTCTGGTTTGCCAAGAATTGGCTTGCCAATGGCAAATAGGCGACGATAAAAATGATGAGGATGATGATGAGGATGAGGAGGATGCTGATTCCAGGTTGTTGTTGATAGCCATTGTCAATCATCGCGCTTGTGGGGCAGCTCAATACCAAGCACTTTCCTAATCCGTCACAGGCGTAAGAAGGAACCATGGCCATGTCCGTCTGGGTCCGTGAGCTAGGTGCAACATTTTCGCAAACGCTGCATGCAAGAAAGGCTCCCTTCACAACGTTCCTTTCCTTTCTGCCCACAACTGGCTTCGTCTTCGACCTTGGCACCTTTTCTATGGTCGGGCGCGCTGCCCATCGAAGGCCCTGGGAGAGATCTGCCAGCAGCCTGGCGAAGCGACCGATCTCGGGGGAATTTACACGGAGCTGCGAGAGATGGGCGACGTCAGATCTGCGCTGCTTTTTTGTCGATGATCCGAAACACGACTCAGGTATACCTGCTTCCCAGTTCAATTAAAGTCAACTACGAGATCAGGGCTGGGGTTCTTTTGCCTTTGTGCAGGAACTCTGTGACCGCTATCTGAGAGAGGTCATGCTTTGATGAAAAGGCTCTGAAAGAGGGTAGGGAGGAGTATTGCTGCATCACAGCTCTCCAACGTCTGGCGGGTAAATCAATTAGCCGCATGCACAGCAATCATCATGCCCATTGTGTGGTGAGTCTGGCGCATGCATCAAGGGAACGTATGCCGCAAAAGAAAGGGACTGACTGGCAAAAGGGACTGAGATACCGTATCTTTTATCCCACCTGGACAGAAGTCAAAAGCCAAATGCCCGGCATTGAGCCAAGCCCTAAACCAAGACAGACACATCAGAGCGCATCAAAACTGAAGAGCCTCAGAGCCTTTTGTCAGAACTCATCCGATAGCATCGCAAAATATCCAGGAAACTTTTGTCCAAACACAACTTGCTCAGAACATTCACTTTGTAGCATTGGCTTCTGAAGCTGTCACTAGCCAAAAAGACAAGCCAAACCAGCTGCAACATATCCGCAACTCATGACTGGTTGAGAAACAGCTCAGGTGACAAGCCGGCAATGGCAACAATAATCCTCTCAGAAACGAACAGGAGAAAACACTGCTCGTCAGGAGCCATCAAAACTCGAACAAGCTCGAGCCAAAATCATTCACAAATGCAGCGGACTGAGTCAGGGAGTCGGAAAGGTACAGTAGAAGCAGCATCAGCAAAATCAGTCCACTGCAGTCAAAACACGATACAGCTATGTAAACGTGGATACGATGGCCAGAATGTGAACAGACACGGTAACTTGGCCGCGAAACATGACATATACTGTACATTTATTAGAGTTCCGTCAACTGTGCGACACGCCAACTTAATCTGCAGAAATCGAGGTTCAGATAGCTGTAGACCGACGTCATGTCAGTCATCATTTCTCTATTCCAAAAAGCTGGCTTTCAAGAAAGCTTAGAACTTGGGTGAAAGTAGGAGAGCTTTGATCTTTCCGGCTTCTCGCTGAAGGGCATGCGTCAAAACAGAATCCCCTTTTTGGAGGCCTTTCTATTTCGCTTCAAACCCAGGACCGAGTCCCAGGCCCATTGCCATGGGTCAAGAGCCCGGTTAGCCCCCAGTGAACATCAACCAATCCAACCACTAAAATAGGTCCTAAAATGGGTGGTGCACCGAAAGCCCCGAAATGGGATCCCATTGGTTTTGACAACCACCGCCACATATTTCGGCCTTCAAAATTGCCCCCCCCCTGTGTTTGGTTTACTGAACACTTGATCTCCTGCAACATGTGGCTCAAGGCCCCTTTTGTGTAACATTGCATCATTCATGATCGCGTGAAGCAAAAGAACCTTAGCAGGCCGCTTACAGGATTATCCACAAGACAATCCACCAGGGACAATCCACCCTCCAATCATCCACAGTGGCGTATTGGATTCTCTCGGGACCAAATCAACGACCTCCAGTTCCCTTCTGGGATAGGCACCTGGGGCAGTGGGCCTCAATTTGTGGTAGCGGAGCGGGTTTTCCGCAGAGATCCAAGGGAAGATGTCATCCGATGGAGAAGGCTTCATGGAAGCCTATTCAAGTATGGCCAAAAATCGAGGCTATACGGAGGAAACACTCAATTTATCGATGACCGCCAAGCAGCCGCCATCGTACGACGGAAAAGTCAGCTGGTTCAGGTATGAAGAACTCGTGGACGACTGGGTGACAATCACAACAGTGGAAGCACCCAAGAGAGGACCTCTGCTCAGATGCATATATGTACAAGGCAGTCCTCCAAAACGACCTTTTGCAAGATCCTGATGAAGGAGTCAACTATTTCAAGAACACGCTGAAGAAGTACTTTTTGAAAGGTGCGACCAACGTGTATCTGTACAGGCTCCTCAGTTTCTTCAATCATCGAAGGCAGAACCAAGAGTTCCTCATTTTTACATCAAATTCGAAATCCTTCTTATGAGATTGAAGGCAGCATGGATGGACTTGATGCCCGTTTTCACGGCACAGTCCCCAACATTTCGACAATCCGTGCAGAAAGCAAATGCAAGAACAATTGCTCGACATCAGCAAGCAGCCGGTGTTCGAGCACCGCCTCCAGCCCTGCTCAATGAGGATGATCCAGTAGTCCTCAGACAGTATATCCAAGGAATGCAGGACAGACAGCATGACGCATTTCCCTTCAGGGATAATCTCATTGCACAGTTTTTCATCATTCAGAGTGAGCTGTCAGATCAGCAAAGAGAGAGACTGACAAGTGCAATGTCACTGAGAAACATCTCACTAGAAAACTACTCCTATGAGATGCTGAAGACGCACTACCATGAACTCTTCATCACGACGAGGACATCCATCCAAGATCCATCCATCCGACCTCAAGGAGGCAACCGAAGCAACACAGTCTTCATCATCGAACAAGGTGAATATGAAGGAGAAGAAGGCTTCTGGGTTGAGGATGAAGAAGGACTTGAAGGATTCATGTCAAACAACGATGAAGAGACATTCTGGGTCCTCGAGATAGTTTTAGTTGGCCATGTTGGCCTTTCCGCCAGAACCGCTTTTTCTGAAGGGTTTAAAGCCACCTCGTTGGTGACTGCCCTTTTTGTTTCCTGATTTTCCTTTTCCTTTTCTCTTCTTGAATTTGAAGTTCCTCCCCGACACTTTCCTTGCTATGAACGCATCGTTCTCCTTACGACCAGGCATATTGGGGAAAAGGCAAGGGAAAGAAGGGAAAGAAAGGAAAATCAAAATTCCAATATCCCTATGAACCGCCAGGGTAAATTGGACCCTGCATCTTCGATATCACACAACTCCTCCATGCAGTACCAACATCGATGTCCTTGAACAAGGAACTGTACCGATCCTCCTCAGCATCAGCCAGATGCGGAACCTCTACATGACCATCGAGCACACACCTCAATGTGACAAGATCACATGCAAGGCCTTTGGCATGAACCGTCAAGCAGTTCCAGTATCCGGTACAGGACATGCACTCGTAGATCTCGCTGGAGTTGCAAGAGTGAAGGCGCATGGAGAAATTGCTCACAAGGGCCTCACCAACTATGTCTATGACGATGATAACAGCATCAAGTTTCCCTCCGGGGGTCTCACCAAGAGCGAAACTGTTTGTGCAGCAAAATCATCCGAGACAAAGGAGGACCTAGCAACTCCTAAGATCATTGGGTTTCAAAAGCAGGACCATTGGATCCTTGACAAGAAGAACAAGCAGCTCATCCGTGTGCACATCACGCCCCGAAAGGCGCTGTTCACACCAAATGGAGCCAAGGAGTGTCCAATCAATCCTGATCACATTAGCCGAGAACGTACTACGGAAATCATTGATGCATCCGCAGGTGGAGATCCAGACATTCTAGAAAACAATTGGAGACTTACATCCCAGGCAAACAAACCAATGATTAACCTGTGGACAGGTAAGACCACCTTCGCGGACAATTCGCTTAAGGACGAAGAAGCAGGTTCAGGATCGGCAGCAGACAGGATCATCGACGAGAGGGGCCGGTCGACCATTGAGCCAGATCCTTTTACACCATCCTCAGATGAACCAACATCGCTTCCGCTTGCCCTAGGCAGAATCCACAAGCGATTGTCAAATCCCGAAGAGTTGAAGAAACTCCACCTACAGCATCATCACATGACAACACATCAATTTCGATTTAGAACCCGCGCACCTCATTTGCCGAAATCAACATTCGATCTATTTGACAAAATCCGAAGTGAGTGTGAAGTTTGCCAAGCGGCAAAACATGCACCGTCACGAAGCAAAACAAGTGGACTTCGAGCGGACACCTTTGGTGACATGACATTCATTGATCACTGTCAAGTTCCTCTTGGAACAGGAGAACACATCATTGTTTTTGTCATCCTGGATGGAGCAACAACATTGCTCACTGCAGAGGCAGTGACAACTACGCAAGAAGCCGAGAACATCACTGTCCTCAGGAACTATTTTGACCAGTACCACTTGCAGCCCAAATCAGTTGTCGCAGATCAAGCCTTCATGACAGATACATGGGAACATTTCTATCAGTCCCTTGACATCACACCGATATCCTTGGGACCGAATACACCATGGCCAAATCGAGCTGAAGCAGTTCGACTCCTGAAGGCACAACTTAAGATCATGCGAAGTTCCATCAAGGCAGGTACAGCACCTGCAACACTGAAGAAAGTGACATACAGGCAGCTAGTGAAGGCCGCTGCAACTGTCCGGAATCAGACCGTCACCTACGGGGGTGTAACACCATTGGAGCTCGCATTCGGAAAACGACCAGCAGATCTCATCCAACTCGATGTCGCAACACCAACCCAGTTGACGATTGACAGGAATGAAGAAGAACTGACAGCCATCCAGATCAAGCAGCTGTCATAGCAAGCTTTCCAAGAAGCGCGTCAATCCGAAGACATCCGACGAGACCTTGCTCAAAATCTCCGAATGAGTTCTAAGCCTCTTCAGGTGAAGGACAAGGTATTCTACTGGCAGGAAGACAAATCCAAGATTCGTTCCGATGGAAGCAAGGGAGGAAAATGGCTAAAAGGAAATGTCATTTCCATTGAAGGAGCGATGGTAGGACTTGATCTTGGGACTCGACTCATCAAGGTTAACATGACGAAGCTCAGGAAGGATGAAACCATCCCTTCGGGGAAACCCGGAATTGATCTTCTATTACCAGAAGAGCGAGAATCCTTGCAGAAGGAGCAACCAGGCTCCTCTGCAGATACCAAGAAAAAGGAATCATCCGCACCAGCTCCTAAGCCAAGATCCTCAGTGCCATTACGTATCGCGGGCAAAACAACTCCAAAACCTGTAGTACCTCATCCAGCAGAGAACATGTTCGTCGAGGACCT